CCACCCCAGGCTGCCCCAGTGAGCCTCCCCAGACCTCCCAGCCCCCTACCGAGACCCCTGGCCTGAGCCCCCCCATCCCCTACCCTGAAACCTGCATCCCCTATGCCCTGAGGTTTCCCACACTTCCCAACCCCTGATCTCACTCTTATACCCCACTCCTGCCCTGGGCCCCCCCATAACAAATTCCCTGCCTTGACTCCTGTACCCTGCCCCACTGCCAGCCCCCTGCCCTGAAGGACCCAAACAATGCCAGGTAAGTATTGTAGTCTACAATATATTTCAGAATTTGTGTGTCCAGCTGGCTGTGAGTCTGTTTGTTCAAGAACTCCTCCTAAATGGTAAGAGCTAGGACTCCCAAATTTGGTATCCAGCCTCCTCTCATCATAACTTAAAGCAAGGAAAGGGTTTGGTTATGCCAGGACAATGAGATGTGCTTGGAATGTGATTCTTTCTTATAAAATAGAAAGGGAGGGGGTCTATTGGTATGTACAGTTTACTGCAAAATGACCACAGGGAGCAGCAAGAAGCCAGAGATGTGGGCTGGAACAACTATACTCCATTGAAGGGGCGGGGGGAAGAGGTGTAGAAAGGGACAGCTATCTGCTATATATTTGACAGAGTTTCTCTGTTTGTGTGTCTGTCTGTCCCCCAGCTAGGAGAGATGTACCCCTCCCCCAACTGTGCTCACTAGCAGCCATGGACAGGTGCTTCTCACCTGGCCCCAAGCTGCTGCGGTGAGAGAGGGCTGGGGTTATCCTCTCCCCAGGCCACCCTGCATACTGAACCCCTCATCCCCAGCCCCAGCCCAGGGCAATGACTTAAATGAAGAAAAACTAAAATTATTTCAGTTAAGGATCTGAGCAACACTGGGTAAATCCTCCAGTAATGTATATTTTCCAAATCAATTAAGAGTGAACACAGGCAGCAAAGGACCACGTTCTCCCTAGAGGAAAGAATGAGATAAATGGTCTAGATTCCTCATTTAATAGCGTATGGAAAAAAATAGGAAGAGATCAGTTACTTTGTATCTAAATGAATATATTATGGTAGGTGCTGTCAAAATACAGTGTTTAGATTTGATGTTTTGTTAGATATGCCAGTGCTTAAAACATTAACCTCTGAGACCATTAGTTTATCCAATTATATAAAAAATATCAATGTAAAAGAAAAATGCGTATATGTCATACATCCCCGAAGCTTCCTATATTAAAAGAACATTAACGTGGCAAAAGTCAAAAGGCTAACAGAATCAGAACTTAGGAAATGCCACAGTTCAGGTTTCCTGTGGAACCTTCATTCGGCCCCTTTTTGCACGTGTATTAGGATATAGCCTTTAACGACAAGAACCCATACTAATTCCACAGGATTCCTGTTTCATTCAGTGTACCAGGTGGATGATAATGAATCATAGAAGAGTAGGGTTGGAAGAAACTTCAGGTATGTCTAGACTACACCTCTCTGTCGACAGAGAGATGTAGATTAGGCACATCGAAATTGCTAATGAAGCCAGGATTTAAATATCCCACACCTCATTAGCATAAACATGACTGCCTTTTTTTTCGAAATGGAGTTTTTTCTGAAAAAACGGCAGTCTAGACGCGGATCTGTCAAAAATAAAGCCTTTTTTGACAGATCCTGTAAACCTCATTTTTTGACAAAGGGATGCAGTCTAGATGTAGCCTTCGGGAAGTCATTTAGTCCAACAACTTGCTCAAACTCCTAGCCAGAGTTTTGTCAAGCTGGGACTTAAAAACCTCTTAGGATAGAGATTCTACAACGTCCTTAGGTAAACCACTCCAGTTTCACACACCCCTCCTAGTGAAATAGTTTTTCCTAACATCCAACCTAGAACTCTCCCGCTGCAACTTGAGACCATTGCTCCTTGTTCTGTCATTTGCCACCCCTGAGAATACCCTTGCTCTATTTTCTATAGAACCCTTCAGCTAGCTGAAGGATGCTATCAAATCCCCCCTCACTCCCCTGGCTCTATTTTCTATAGAACCCTACAGGTAGCTGAAGGATGCTATCAAATCCCCCCTCACTCTTCTATGGATTAAACAAGCCCAGCTCCTTCAGTCTCTCTTCACAAGTCATGCACCCCAAGTCCCTAATCATTTTTGTTGCCCTCCCCTTGACACTCTCCAATTTGTTCATCTCCGTTCTGTAGTGGGGCGCCTGAAGCTGATGTGACCTTCCCAGTGCCCTGCTGCCATCTGCTTACCCCTATTCCAGCTGTTTTGGCAGTGCCTGAGCATTCTCAATGCAATTTCTGCTGCTTTGGCAGCCAGTTAATCCCAACACTTTAGAACACTCCCATGTATCGTTATTCCATTGACAGGCTGCCAATGTTTTCCCGAGTAACACATGTCTGGGAATAGGTGGATTATGATTTTTTTTAAAGTTTTTGTTAAGTATCTTTTAAAAATTGAATAGAATTTCACAGGACACAGAAAAGACACTTCTGCATCCCATGGGTAAAGCGCTGCAAATCCATGGATATTCACTTTATATTTGCAGTTGTCTGCATTTGCACATGTGAATGTGAATATCCATGTCTCATTTTTGTTAAGAAACAGATGCGTGATCTGGGCTGCTGTTGCCGGCAAGAGTAAATCTCAGGTCCGACACTAGGTTTTCAAAGTACAAAGACACGCTACACAAGTATCTGTCAAACACAAGCAGTTTATTTTCTGACAGCTATCAGCTGCGCCCCTTAACTAAAAGGACAACATGATAGAAAAAGCAACATTCTTACATTCCTTCTGCAAGCTGGGGACCCAGTTTCAGCTGCGGATGAAGCAGGAGATCATCTAGGGCCTAGACTTTCGAGGTGCCGGCACCAAAGCCCATCGGTGAGGTCCATATAGCTGTGCTCTGGGGCAGCTTTAAATACAGTGTCTCTACCTTGTTTGGCAGTTTGGAAATTTCCAGGGGGTTACTCATTGCTTGTGACAGTATGGCTCAGCTGTACTGACTGTCCTTTGACTTTGTTTACATGATCAGTACATTTGGGTAAACAGGATTGTTATGTTCCCGCCCTTATGTACAATTATGTACAATTCTTGCTACAGTGGTGTATGTTCCTAGAGGCTTGCTTCTGGCTCATCAGTAGTAGGGAAGGAGGGGTGGAGGAGAAATAGGAAAGGGGGAGGGGGGAAGAGTACAGGCCTCACCACCCCTATACTTCACATGTACAGAGTTCTTCCGCAATTAACCCCTACAGCTGCTGCTTCCTGCAGTTCCCCTTGGCTGCAAATGGCAAACTTCAGCCAATGGGAGCCAACAAGGCTCTGTAGATGTGGAGCCGATAAGTAAACAAACCGAACCAGTCCAGTAGCAGCTCTCTCAGAGTGGGTCTGCCGACCACTTTGAGAAACACTGATCTAGAAACCCTGCAGATTTGAACCCTCCACTTTATATCCATGAGGATGGATGCAGAGAACCGTGGCTCATTTTTGCATATATGGACATAGATATGCATTTTGTATCTGTGCAGGGCATTCTCCCTACTGAATATCAAAGAATTGCTGCATCAATGAGTCACAAAAAGTTGCAAGCAGGCTTTACAATGGCAAGTGTTAGGCAACCTAAATCCAGGAGTGTAACCATCTGCCCCTTTAATAAGATTATACACAGTTGACTGTCTTCCTTTCCTGCATATCTCATATCCTGCTTGCCTTCTTATTGCAAGCCCTTCCAGGCAGGGGCCATTACTGCAAAGATTATTAATGTGATTAACTTTCAGCACAAAGTTACTGGGATTACTCACATGCTTAACTTTAAACACATGCATAAATATCTGCAGGAGGAGGGTCTATATTTGTTCAGTGCCTAACATCATAACCCCTAGTTGCTAATATGACATAATAAATGATAATGAACCTGGTTTTCAGAACTACTCAGCTCCTGCAATTCCTATTAAAATTCATCTAGAGTTGAAGGGACTCAGCAGGTCTGAAAATCAGGACTAACAGCAGCTATGTGTTGTGGAATAATTAAGATGTTAAACCTGCAAATCTAAGGATATGTCTAGACTACATCTCTTTTCTCGAAAAAGAGATATAAATGAAGCACTTCAAAATTTCAAATGAAGCCAGGATTTAAATTTCGCATGCATCATTTGCATAATGGCCACCATGTTTCTTTTTTTTTTTTTTAAACAGAGCTTTTTGAAAGAAAAATGTCAGTTTAGACTGGGATCTTTTGAAAATAAAACCCTTTTTCGAAAGATCTTGTAAAGCTCACATGCACTGTCAATATCAAGGACCACCACGAGAACAGTTTTGTGTATGTAAAAACACATCTATTTCACACTGCCTACAAAAGGTACAAAAGTTAGGCCCGATCCTCCAGCTCTTACTCATTAACTTCATTGGGACTATTCTAATGAGTAAGAAATACAGGGCTGGACCCATATTTATAATTTCAAAGACTTAAGAACAAATCATTTTGGTTTTGCAAGTAAGTCTGAATTCAGTAAGGAGATTTTTTAAAAAGTCACAGCTAATGTGAAAGATATTTTCCCATTAAAATAAAAGTGGCTCTGGTTGATCTGATCTACCTTTCTAGGAGAATTTGTGTTTTATAGACCATCACAAAATGGTCTGAAGTTCAGATCCTCAAGTATTTTATGATTTGTCTGAAAAAAATGTTTAATATAGATTTTAGCCTTATCTGCTCAGTACACACACACACACACACACACACACACACACACACATTTTAGCCTTATCTGCTCAGTCCACACACACACACACACACACACACACACACACTAATAGAAAATTAAAATTCTCATTCATGTATCTTCTTTAACAGTTAATTGGACTTACTTAGCACTGTGATGTTCAACCTTTGGCTACTTATCTTCTCATAGGAGTGACGGTTGCTAGCTTCGCATCTGTATTCTCTCAAATCATGTAATGTTGTTTGTATGTCCCTGAATTCAGCATACGTATTATCCAATACTGTGATGGTCTGAATACTTCTGTTTCCTCTGAAGAGTGTATAATTTATAGGTGGAGTTCCAAAAACGGATTGACAACGTAGGAGTAGAGTATCCCCTAACACCATCTCAGTGGATGAATTGGAAACAGAAAGAACTGGCTTTGAGACTGGCGCTAAAAGAGGGAAAATGTTATTGAAGTTGTATTAGGGTAAGTCCTAGTACCAGTAATTAATTGAAGACTGCTACATTAATGTAGACATGATCTATAAAACATATGCTACTTATTTGTTCCAAGTGATAAAGGAAGCCCCGCACATTGGCTGCATGAGTGTACTGCTAGCAAACAACTTGATTTCCTTACGGTGCGGTCCTCCATGATCAAGATAACATCTGCCTCCTACTGAGATCTGGGAAGATTGCTGAGGGCAGGGTGGGGGTGAAGCAGAGGGGAGCTAAATCAAGGCAGAAGTGGATAGAGTTTCAGACAAAAATTGAAACAAAATACAGGACTATGTAGCACTTTAAAGACTAACAAGATGGTTTATTAGATGATGAGCTTTTGTGGGCCAGACCCACTTCCTCAGATCCGAGGAAGTGGGTCTGGCCCACGAAAGCTCATCATCTAATAAACCATCTTGTTAGTCTTTAAAGTGCTACATAGTCCTGTATTTTGTTTCAGCTACACCAGACTAACACGGCTACATTTCTATCACTATTCGACAAAAATTGGTGACTGAAAAGGTGTGTAGGGTATGGCCAACTACTGAGAAAGTTAAGATGAGGTAGGATAGAGGGAAAGGACAATGGGAGAAGGATGCAGCAAGCTTTTGAAGAGAGTGAAGGGGCATGGAAAGGGGAAGACTTACTGATTTCCTTCCCTGATTATTGCTGGCCCTGGAAAAAGCTAATGAGTGTGCATCAGATCAGAGCTAGTTCTGTATGTCTAGTGACTACAAGAAAGTCAATAGAAAGTGACTTGCTGTTTGCAATTCAAGGGTTGCAGTCTGACCCTGCAAACCACTGGGCTACTGATCTGCACAAGTGTTTTGCAGGATTGGGCCTTTAAATCTCTTTATCAACTCACCGTAAACAGTTATCTGTACAGGGTTACTCTCCTTGATGACTCCTTTTATCTCAGCTCTGCAAACATAGGATCCGGTATCATTCACCCGGGCTGTGATAGTGAGGTTGCTGGAACTTTTCAATAAGATGCCGTTCTCTGGAGGTCTCTTTATGATAGAGTATTTTGCATTAAGGGAGCCATTAATATGGCACCATAGGTTTAAACTCTGATTCTCATCTAAGTCAGTCAAAGAAGGAGTCAATATTGGCTTGGAGAACAACTCTAGACAACAAATATAGAGAACGGAGAGAATTAATTCAGGTTGTGCATAGGGGCGAAGTAGCTACACTTCCCAAACTATCTGGGCAAAGGACACAATGAAATGAAAAGGGGTTGCGGTGCATTAGCTATTTTTATCCATCAATGAGGTACGGGCACATAGACTATTGCCATCCCAGGGCATCCTTTTATGGCCTGGGGTGGCCCTGTAGGAACCCTGCCTCAGTTTCCCAGAATAATACGGTCTTTAAAGTAATACCCCTCTCGATAAAATTCAGCTCCCCCCAAAAAAGTCCCTTTTCTGCTCACCCCTCAAGTTTCAAGTCCTTTTGGGGACTATGTTCCAGGCCTGGCCTCCCTAGCCCATAGATTGTTGACCCAGGTTCAGTGGTTTCCCATCCCTCCTTTCTGGGGCTCTGTCCAGGCTGAGTTCTTCCCCCCGACTCATCAATTTCTCCTTCAGACAGATTTCCCCTTGGAGCTTCCTTTTGAGTCACCTTCCAGTCACGACTCAGGCTCTTGATCTTTCCCAACTGGGTCTAATAACCCCCAAATCGTGTCTCTGGTAACAGGGAAAGAAGGGAGCTTTTGCCCCTCCCATTCTACAAGGCTCCTGGTCCCAGATCTTTAAAGAAATGATGGTCTAGGATGACCCTAAACCAAGGCTGGGCAAAAATGCAGCCTGCGGGCTACATCTGGCCCACCACATGGCTGGATCCGGACCATAGGAACCTCAGCCAGCTCCCCACCTGGTCTGTCCCCGCTCCGCACTCAGAAAAGCCAGCTGCGGGGGTCTGTGAACACTGCAAGCTCAGGGGAGGGGAAGAGGCTTCTCATGCTGCTCCTGCCCCCAACAAAATCTTGCAGCTCCCAAGACGTAGAATCATAGAACCATAGAGCTGGAAGAGACCTCAGAAGGTCAAGTCCAGCCCCCTGCTCTAGGCAGGACCAATCCCAATTAAATCAACCCAGCCAGGGCTTTGTCAAGCCGAGACTCAAAAACCTCTAGGGATGGAGACTCTACTACTTCCCTAGGTAACCCATTCCAGTGCTTCACTACCCTCCTAGTGAAATAGTTTTTCCTAATATCCAACCTGGACCTCTCCCCCCACAACTTGAGACCATTGCTCCTTGTTCTGCCATTTGTCATTACTGAGAACAGCCTCTCTCCATCCTCTTTGGAACCTCCCTTCAGTAAGTTGAATGCTGCTATCAAATCCCCCCTCACTCTTCGCTTCTGCAGACTAAACAGACCTAACTCCCTCAGCCCTCCTCGTAGGTCATATGCTCCAGCATATTCAGCCTTAATCATTTTGGTTGCCCTCCACTGGACCCTCTCTAATGCGTCCACATCCTTTTTGTAGTGGGGGGCCCAGAACTGGACACACTACTCCAGATGTGGCCTCACCAGAGCCTTCCCCTCCCCCAACCCCGGTTATAAAATACTTGGTTTCTGTTATTTCTCTCCAGCTCATCATTTGATGAAGTGAGTTTTACCCATGAAAGCTCATGATACTATATATATTTTTGTAAGTCCCTAAGGCGCCACAGGACTACTTGTTATTTTAAAAGAACAGATCAGAGAAATACTGATGGCTGGTAATATAAGATCCTAGTTTAGATTAAACCGATTAGATAAAATAGGTATTCACCCAATTCCCACATGCTGTTGGCCATGTTGTTAAAAGCAGGGCTCACCAAGCCACGGCAAGCCCCGCTCGCCAGCCACGCTGTCCAGCAATCTGCGCATGCGCAGATCGATCTCTTTCAGATTGTAATCTACTTGCCACGGGCGAGTAGATTACATAGAATATTGAGCCCTGGTTATAAGGATATTCTGCATATGACAGTATTAAAACCCTGGGAAACATCCGTATTCCCTGTAAGCTGAACACTTGGGCAGCCACCTAGTAGAGTCAAATGCTGCCCAGCTGATTTGCAGTCAACCACAGCTCGCAGCATGTGTTTCTATTGGTGGTGCACATCTGCACATGCACCGATGCATATAAAATGTATTCTGCACATTCATGGGAAAAAATTAGTGGGAACACCAATCTTCATTCATTATAACATAAGAAAAACAACAATAAACTCATGCAAGGTCCCAGCTTGGGCGTGGCACCACTGTCTTCTACTGTAGCAGTGCGCAACCTTTTTTCAGACGTGACCCCAATATACTCGTGTTGCGACCCCTAAGATAATTTGAGCAGCACAGCTCTAAGATCCGGCCAGCTGGGGGCTGGGGCTGGGCCTGGCCATTGGCAGCCCCGCAGTGCAGCACGGAACTTAGATCCGGCCAGCCGGGGGCTGGGCTCAGCCATTGGCGGCCCCCCAGAAAGACATCTGCAACCCCCTTAGGGGTTGCAACACATGGATTGCACACCACTGCTCTATTGGATGAAATGAGAATTGCCCAATGGCAAGTCATAGAGTTTACACTGCAAGCAGTGTAAAAACATTCTCCTTTAGCTGAAATAATAGAAGAGTAATTGTGCTTCTGGAGCAGATGGATATGTTTAACCCCGTTGTCATGGTGAAGTTCCAAATGCCCATGACACGCAGTTTAATGACAACCATGAAACAAATCCCGGTTGCCAGGGATTTGTCAGTACCTGCGCCTGGTACAGTATTTTACAATTTCAAACTATTTGTTAACGTCTCAGAAAGTATTACTATCTTCATTCTATCATAGGAGCAAACCAAAATTCAACATCCGGTGGATGTACCATGTCTGGACTATGGTTCTTCTTCAAGGGCACCATTTCAGAAGAGTGCAGGAGGAGGGAGGCAGCATCTGTATATCAGGGAGTATCAGGGAGTGAGGGAAAAGTACTTGGATTCCATTGATTACTCCTCTACTCCCTCCCTTCACCAGCCAGGAGTGAGAGGCATGGGCAGAATCCAAGTACTTTCCCCTCACTCCCTAATAGTCAGGGGAATGGGAAGAAAAGCAAGCCACGTCCTCGTACGCATGGCTGCTGCCCTCATTCTGCTCTCCTGAAACGGCAGCCTTGCCCTTCTCCAACACTGGCTGCTCCAGCCATTGTGGAGGAGACAAAATAATTTTGTAATTGGGATTTAAAAAAATAATCACTCTCCTTCCCCCCAGCCCTAAGTAAACTTAGTCACCTTTGTAGTACAAATAGGATCTTTGCTGAACGGCAAGCAGTGATCGGGTGCAGATCCTCAAAGTTATCCAGGTGCCTAACTCCCATTGAAAAATCAGTGGGAGTTAGACACCTAAATACCTGCGCCTGAGCGTCAGCCAGGATTAGAACTCAGGAAATGTGCATTTGAGTGTCACTTTCGTGAGCGATGCAAGATCTAGAATGACCGGCACTCCTACCTGGCACAACAATGTTTATGCTGCTGCTTTTCGACACTCCCCCCAGTTCCACTTTGCATGTGTAATTGCCATTGTTCTCTACTGTGGCTATTGCAGAGTAAGTGACAGAATTCTGTCCGCGTGTACTGTTCAATATCTTTCTGTCTCTCTGGATGAGAATTTCAATGTCCTGATTCCGGACTTGAACCGTTGTACATTCAATGTCAATTCTGTCTCCTTCTGTGATGTTCTGTGGGGGCCTGACAGTCATCTTAGGTTTTGAAAATGGTTCTGAAATGCAATAGATATAAAATTATTCGGACAACAACTTCCTCTTTTTTTAAAAGAAAATATTTGTGTGGGGGGATAAGGTGGGAAAGGAAAAGGGAAATTGGATACCATTCTTCTTGAGGAACAACATGGTTTTAGGCAAGGTCATTCATGCACAGATGTGATTTTCACTTTAAGTAAGAAGGTTTATGAAAATGTAAATGAATTTCTAGGAACCCTTGGTATTAATTTCAGACTTTCAAAAAGCATTTGATAGTGTAAATTGGGATACAATGTGGAAAATTGTTAGGCAGTATGGAATTCCAATTAAACTTATCAATGTAATGAAGCCATTTTACACTAATTCCAAATATTGTATTAAAAGGGATAGAGGATTAAATAATTTGAAATTAAGACAGTGGGAAGGCAACAGTGCTTCCTGTCTCCATTCTTTGTTCTTAGTCATCATTGATAATGGCCTCAAGCAATGTAAATATAATCCATGTGGCTTAAAGTAGAATCATTCAAGATTATTTGATCTAGATTTTGCCGATGACATTGCTCTTCTGTGTGAAAATGCTGAAGGATGTCAAGCATGCATAGATGAAGTTAAAGAAATGATGAAGAAGGTAGGACTGATTCAATGTAAAGAAATGTAAAACCATGATAAACAGAGATATGGATTTAAACATCAAAACTGATGATGAACAGCTAGAGAGGGAAGATGGTTTCAAATATGCACAATAAGCCAAGATGGCATACGCTCAGAGAATATAAGAATAAGGATTGGCAAAGAAAATCCAGCTACAATTGCAGAAAGACTCCAACAATCTTTGATCCTGCAGATTTTCATCCTCTTTGCTAATGACAATAACAAATGTCATACAGTGCCTGGCATGGACGCATATGTTGCATATCCATCAAGACTCACATCTCTCTTGGGGAACCAGTTGTGCATGTTACGGAGTAACCTCCATTTCAACTAGAGTGATGGGTGGGCACATTATAATCAGCTGATTTAGCAGTACAGATCAAAACACATTAGAATGTAACCCTGATGACATCACATTTGGGTTTGGATCCTAAACTTGGATGATGTTTGGGGGCATATGGGATCTAGGGTTTTAGTTCACACCTATCTGCCCCCCCTCGCCCCGCCAAAAAGCCAAGAAACAGACCTGCTCTGTCCCCTACAACTACTGAAGCATTCTCATAGACTGCCACTGTGGACAACTTTATAACTAACAACAACGATATCACCATTTTAAAATATCCACGTTTCCAACTCAGGCAAACAACAAATTACCAGAATTACAAGCAATCCCAGGGAACCCCTGACACAGATGCCCTCCTGTGGATGAGCCACAGCCTACCTCGGTGCCCCCTTCATCCACCTGAGCAAAAAAACAGTGTCTCTGTGGCAAATTCAGCCCACTTTTTTTCCCCATATAAAGCACCACAATCCACAGATCCTTTGTAGTAAAAACAATTCCTTTCAAAATCGCACAGTAAAACACAGTTACAAGGCAGCAGCTCTTCAGTCCCACGGGTTGTGCACTCCTTTGGCCCCACTCGCTAAGTATCTGTCTACTAACACCTGCTTCTTTCCTTCAAGGCTTCTATAGCCCCATATCAGGTCTCCTACAAGAGGACTCCCCAATGTTCCATTCCCCAGATCTCTTCTGAGAGTCCTGTTCCTGCTCCTGGGAGCCTCCTTAATCCAGAGTCAACCCCTTTTGAGTATGGCTTATACAAACTGAGTGATTCTTCTCCTCACTCTTAGGGGGCCCTGCATACGTCTTCCTGAAGCTCAGCAGGGTTCCCCAACCTCAGCCTCCCAATAGTTTTCCTCACAATTCGTCACCAGCAACTCAGAGTTACCACTTTCCTTCCGGTCTCCTGCAAGTCTCTCTTTCTCTCTGACCACTCACTGCTGCTGTCTGTCTTTCTCTCCTCTGTTCTCAGGCAGCATTCACCAGCCCCTTCCTGATTCTCCAGCTATGTCTACACTTCAAGATGGGGGCATGATTTCCAGCTCAAGGACACGTATTTGAGTGACAGAGGGGTAGCCGTGTTAGTCTGGATCTGCAAAAGCGACAAGGAGCCCTGTAGCACCTTATAGACTAACAGATGTATAGGAGCATAAGCTTTCATGGGCAAAGACCCACTTTGTCAGATGCATGTCACCTAACATGCATCTGACGAAGGGGATCTTTGCCCACAAAAGCTTATGCTCCAATACATGTTAGTCTATAAGCTGCTACAGGACTCCTTGTCGCTTTTGTATATTTGAGTGAGTGTCCTAAAAATAGACACAGTACTACAAGCAATGGGAGGGACCACTTCCCTGAGTACTGAGTACATACCTATGGTTCTGGGTGGGTATGTCCTGGAGGTGGCTAGTCCCTCCCACCACTTGAGTCGCCATGGATGCGCTCCATTGGTAGGGCACCACCTCAAATCAGCACTAGCACATACATGTCTCCTAACGCTGGAAACCATAGCTCTAGCCCAAAGAGCGGACATGTCCTCAGTCTAGTCTCAAGCAGTTCTTCCCTGCCTCTTCCAGTCTCGGGCACCCTCCTTTATGCCCCATTGAGAGTCAATTGGCCCCTCTTAAAGGTGCCCATCACCCTGTGACACAAGCAAAGAAATGCAAAGGCACAAACTGAGCACACGTCTACACTACAAAATTAAATTGATCTAACTTAGGTCCACATACAGCCATCCCAGTAATCACATTCCTTGTAGGCTCACTGATGGGGGGGGGAGGGCAAAGGGGGCAGGTGCCCTGGGGCCTGGTGCTCCTGGACAACACCACTGCAGCAGCAGTAGTGGCTGGAACCCTGGGCCCTTTAAATTGCCTTTGAAGTGCTACCTTGGGCTCTCTGGGTGGCTCTAAGGACTGGGGGGAGGGGGGGTTTACCGCCCTCTGGGCAATTCTGAGGGCTGGTATGTGGGAGAGGCCACAGCATGCTCCAGGCAGCACAGAGAGTTGGCTGCCCCTGGCCCTGCCCCTTCTGCCTGAGACTCCCCCCCTTCCAGGAGCATGAAACCAGGCCCTACCCACCTTGCCCAGAGGTGTATGGAGGCTGTTGGCTCCCCTGATAGCTGGTGTGTTTTTACACTTTGCCTTAGTGGTTCATGTCCTCACCAGGAGTGCTTGTGTAACTGCCACCAGGCAGATTTGAACCGGGGACCTCTGGAGCTTAGTATGGGAACCTCTACCCTCTGAGTTAAAAGCCAGCTGGCTCTCAGGCCATGCTGTAGACTCTACAGTGTAGAGGTCTCATCTGTTGCTGTGGTCTAAGTGCTACTGCGTGGGACAGAGAACCAAACTAGGTGCATGGGTTACACTTGCACCAATTGAACTGTCAGCGCGGGGCATTGAGAGAGAGCTTCTGAAAGCCAGTAACAGTTGATGTAAGCAATGCAGTGTCTGCACTGACACTGTATCAACCTAACTACACTGATACTGATTCTGTCTCTCTTATGGATATGGATTTGCGAGGTCGGTGTAGCAGGAAAGTGACATCAGTGGGAGAGAGATTTTAGTAGACACTTACATAGTTAGGTCAACATAAGTTGCCTAGAGTCAACTTACTTTATAGACTAGACCAGTTCTAAGCAACTTACCCACAACTGTAACAAGTGTCATATTACTGGGGTCTGATGTGGAAATACCAAATGGTGACATAACCTGGACAATACATTGAAAATTCAATATTGAATCCCCCTCTTGGACTGGAAAGTCAACAGATGCAAAGTTTTCCCTTAATTCTTGCTTCTTTTTGGTTTGTTTCTTTTGATCCGGCAAGAGTTTGTCGAACAGGAAAATGAAGGGAGGCTTTTCTTCTGGTTCTTCACATCGTAAAGTCACAACTTCACCCTCCGTTACCTCTGTTTTCAGGGCAGTCAATTTCGGCTGGAACAGCCCTTTGGAAAGAAAACAAGCAAATATAATTAGACAAATCTAAAGCAGAAGTTCTCTCTGGCATTTGTACTAGTGGCTATTCTAGAGTATGGGCAGAATCAATCTGATCCCAGACTTAGGCCAGATTTTTACAGTTGGCCAAAGTCTGGAATAAGACACTCAGGAAGTTTAGGGCAAGTATTATGCTGTATGGGTGGGCATTCCGATCATGCTGCTGTGACCAGTGAATCAAGACTTCTCTCATCCCATCACTCTGCAACATTGAACATTCCACAGGGTACTTTCCTAGCAACCTTAGATTATGTTTGTTCTACCAGTATACGGTACTGGCAAAGTGCTCCCTGTGTGAATGTAGCCTTCGCTCAGTGGGGCTGGAGCACCAGAGGAGTGAAGTGTTTCATTTGGGAGCCACATCGATACATCAGTGAGGTTTGGGATATTTGGAGGTGTTTTTTTTCCCTCACTGTATGGTCCCCAGCTGATTTTTCAGTGGCCCCTGACCCAAAAAAGGTTACCAATTCTTGCCACAAATAAAGAAAACATGGGAACCTTTTGTGTTGGACATATACAACTCACTGATGTATCGATGTATAGATATTTTACTTGATTTAAAATGAAGTTTGATAAACTAACATGAGAAAGTTAGAGCTTAATCTATTTAATAATTTAAATTACTATTTCCTGACTGGTTAATTAAACCATTCTCCCTAGCTACAGCACTAGCAAGATGGCTTGGGCTTAATTATCTAATTAATGGCAAGTTTCCATTAGCAACTGGTGGTCCACGGAAAGGTTTGCATTGAGCCAGGTGGGCCATAGGACAAAAAGTTTGAGAACGGTCATTAAGAACACTTCCCCATCAACACTTCTAACTCCCACATCAGAACAAGCAACAGGTAAAATCTGATTTCTCCACTTGGATATTGGAACGGGGGATACTGGTCATTTAGGACAGTGGTTCTCAAGCTAGGATACGTGTACCCCTAGCCCCCCCCTCAATGCCAATGAGTACCAGATGCAGAGGATCTGGAGTGGAGATCTGCCATGGGCCTGCTGGGTGACCTTAGGCCAGGCTCTTCACCTCTCTGTGCCTCAGTTTATCCTCGTTTTACTGATACTGCAACACATTTTGAGAACTCCAGATGAAAAGTGCTTCAGTATTATTATTAATGTACATTGAGAGAGTACGGGTTGCTCCTCCCTGGTCTGGCACCCTCAGGACCCGACCGGTTCTGGATCAGGGATTTTCCAGACCAGGGGAGGTCATTTCTGGACCCCCCTGACACCAGTCTCTTCCAGCCCCTCTTGCTGGTCCCCACTGCCCTGTCAGCCCCCACTGCAGCGCTCAACAGCCCTGCCACCTCCATGCGCACCAGGCTCCCGCTGCAGCACTAGCACATGTGGGGCTCCCAGTGCCCTGCCCAGAAACCCCACTGCCACATGTCTGTTTCCTACTGTTCTGCCATCCCGCAAAGGCTCCCAGACACTAGCTCTCCACCAGGACTTTCTGATCCTGAAACATCCATGGTCCTGTTAAGAGAGTTTCAACCTATAGGACATAATCTACCCTGCTTTTTGTAACATAAAAGACTGCCACAGTTGGAAGGGTACTTACCCTCCACTTGAACTTCCAAATCATTGCTGCTTTTTGTTTTTCCTTTTGCGTCCACGGTGCACCGATAGCTTCCTGAATCCACTAATCGAGCTGGGAATATTTTGTGACGTGCTTGGACATCCTTCAACGTGGTGTTGTGCACAAGATTGTCGTCTTTGTAAAATAAAAAAGTGAGCTCCATCTGGAAGCTGGTGCTTTTGCTAATGTCCGCAGAGCAGTTCAGTTGGATTGACTTTCCATTTGTCACTTTGTGGGATGGGCTAGTGAGTGTCACTTGGTTGATGGTCACTTGAAAGGGGAACGGAGAGACAAAAGTCGCATTTAGTTTCAGTCTGACCAAAGTCCTGTTTGTTCTCTGATGTTGCTATGTAATGCTCATTACAATTGCTAAAGGCTGAGAACTCTATGAAATAGGCACTGTCCTACTTTATTGGGGGGGGACCATGTTTCCTTCAGTTGAGTACAGGATACTTGGTAAAATTACTTGTAGTCAGGTGAGTTCTACAGCAATCAATCAAAATTGTGCTGTACAAACATTCAAATTATTAGGTTGACTGAGCCCCTGTGAGGCATAAATACTGAATAACTGGAATCCTTTGTAGTTACTTTCTTGTCTTTAAGGCTTTAGCGTTCACAGGAGGAGAGGAATACACACACACACACACACACACACACACACACACACACACACTCCCGTACACCTCTCTCACATAGGCAGGTGACCGACCATCCGGACCCTCCCTGGCTGACGCTCTCCACCCTCCTTGCCTGACTGGGTCCCCAGGGTAGATTCACCTCTCCTGGTACCTGGAGCCTCTTCTTCCCAAGGCAAAACATGGGGGAAGGGACACAGAGTCACTGGAAAGGGGTATGGAGGAGCAGTGGGCCTGGGAGGCAAAAAGGAGCAAAGCAGAGAGGGGAAGCAAGAGCAGGAGCATGTAAAGAATCAATGAGCGGTCAGCAGAAGCAATAAGTAACTGGCTGCCATCTGGCACCTGTTCACACTCACCAGCCACCACTGCTCGCAGTGCACAGTCAGTGCCGCCCGGAAACGGGATGGGGCGGGACCCTGCTGGCCAAGAGCTGGCATGCAGTAGGGACTGTGCTGATGGACCAGTAGGGGGAGCAGTTGACCCCATGCACTGCTTTGCCCCACCACCAGCTTTGCACACCCCAAAACCATTGTGGGGCACTGAACCCCCTCACTCATCACTGATAGGCCAGCAGCTGGCAAGCGGGGATCTGGCTAGCAGCAGGACCCACCAGTAGTAATGGGGGGGAAGATAGAAAATATGGGACAATTTGCCTGTTTTTAAGAAAAAGTCGGGACACCTGCAGAGGGGCTTAAATACAGGGTTCTCCCTTTAAAAATGGTACTTCTGGTCTCCCAATACTTTCCGGCCTTGAGTCTGCAACTGGAACCACACAGGCAGTCTCCCACTGAAATGTATGGGGCTCCAAGCAGGTGAAAAGATCCATTCAAGTGCTTGTGATTGCAGAATCAGTGTCTATGTTTGTATAATGCCTTGCACAATGGATCCCCAATCAGATGTGTCAGTGCTACCCCAAAACAAATACAATTCCAGTTATCTGAATTCCCTTTTTTCAAAAATCCTCATCTGAATTCACAGCAGTTTCCCCCATTAGCCCTATTTTATTTAATAGCACTTCTGTTTATCTGAAACCTGGTCATTTGAAACTTTTGGATGTCTACCAGGCTTTTAGGATATATGTAATTACACTGTGTTACCACTACTGTCTTAGCCCACCTCTCACATCCATTGTTTAAGGATTTTTGTGATTAAAGCTCAAGCAGGATTGGCTTGAGCCATTCTTGTCCCCCGGACAGCGGGCGCACAATGCATGCACGGCTCTGCCCCGGGTGCACTGCACATGCGCGCCCCGCCCCCCGGCACGCGGTGCACCTTACAGCTGCAATTGGGCACGTGACGTCCCTTACAGCTGCCATCAGGCGCCCCACATAGGTTGGCTCCCCAGGCAGCTTCCCAGCTAGCCCCCGCCCCCCTTAATTCGGCCCTGAGCTCAAGGTTCCCCTTCCATCTAGAAAAAATTTTCATTTTCAAGCAACACATCTGTACAATGAAGTAGGTTTTTTTTTTTTAATTACAAGAAGAAATGGAGAACAGGGAAGGGGAAAAGCAATTTTGAGCAGTTTTGCCTGTTTCTGTGATTATTTTGCAAAGCCCTCACTTTAACATGCCACTCAGGAAAAAAATGAAGTCCTTGTCCACACTGGTCAGAAGAAACACCTAGGAACCATTCTGGCACCAGCTCTCTCTCACAGCTGTTGTCACTACCGTCTGAAAAGTCATGTGGCCTAAATACAATCCATGCTGGGCCGTCAACTGAATCCTCTGAGTTAATTCAGTGTTCTAACATAGCCATTGGGTGGGACTGCTTGAAATTCCCTTTCAACTGAGGAGCAGTTAGCTTGCCAGAGAGTCTCATAATGTATAACTAAAGAGAATGCTCTTTTGCTTCAGTTATAGTTAAAGATGACCAGACTGGGTGAGATTAGTGTGCAAAGAGTCATCACACACTACACACACTTGAAGTCAGGGGGTGGGCAATAATTTTTGATTGGGGGCCCACTTCAAGATATTGGTAAGTGGTCAAAGGCTGCACATTTCTATGGAGAGGCTGCAGGGTCTGGAACAATGTTGGGTGCAGAAGGAAGCTTGGGGTAGGGGACTGGGTCTGAGAGGGAGTAGGAGTGAAGGAGGGGGTTGTGACCTGGAGCACGGGAGTGGGGTGCAGGGTCAGGGAGGGGGTTTGGGCGCAGGAGAGGATTCTGGCCTGGGGGAGGAGTTTAGAAGTAGGTGCAGAGTCTGGGAGGCAGTTATGACCTGATGAAGGGGAGGTACAGAGTTTGGGTGGGGACATGGGGCAGAGAGTTGGGATGTGGGAGGGAATGAAGTGCCAGATGTAAGCTCCAGCCAGGAGGCATTTACCAGGGTAGCTCCTGGCCAGCAGTCCAGCAGGACTCTCAGGCAGGTGGCCTATATGAGGGGCCTGGCAAGGCAGGCTGTGGGCCGGATACGAAGGCTTGGCAGGGTGGATCCAGCTTGTGGGGCAGTTCTTGATACTCCCCTCCCCCACTTTAAGTCCTACTTAAATGATGCATAAACTTGTGCTGGCACTCAGCTCTAGAATGAATTTACCTCAGATGGAGAACAAACGTGAAGTCTGTAGGAAGTGCTAAGCAGAGACAGGAGAGAAGAGAAAAGAAGTGAGAAAAAGAAATAGCAGGAGAAGAAATGTGGCTGCTTAAGAAGCTAGGGGCATGGTCCGTAAGGGGTTTGTATGAAATATTTCAGAGACTAGTCCGCCCTGTTGAGCTACATGGACATTTCACTATTGATTTCAAACAAGAGCAGGAAGAGGCTGTTTGCAACCAATGTCTGTATTTAACACCTGTATTTCCCCTCCCCCCCTTCCATAGTGTTATCTTAAAATGCCACTCCCTCGAAGAGGCAAAAGAGGGGAAGAGAAGAGAAGAGAAGAGGGAATTCTTCACCCCAGAAAGCAGCTGTTTCCTCCTGAAGCTCATGGTAGCCTTCCTACGCTCATCTCCAATTTCCAGAGACAGCTAGGAACTTGACCATGGGAAAATCTTCCCTGAGGTCACTGAATTTTAGATATTGGGATAAACTAGACATTTTTAATCACATTTGTACATCCCTTCAAAAACACACACACACACACACACACACACACACACACACACACACACACACACACACACACACACACTTGAACTGGAGGGTCTTGGATGGACTGGAAATTGGTTACAAACATCATCTCTGGATTGGGATTGGCAGAACAAAACCCCCAGCAAATGAGGTTTTGCAAAAGGAAAACCCAGTTTGCTTGACCCATCTTTAATGAAATTCCATTCTCTGTGGTGTGATGAGAAAAGCATGTACTAGAACAGGGAGGACAGAGGTAGCTAAATGTGTCTGCAGCTGACTTGTTCTGGTCCGCTTATCTGTCATGATTCATTGTTTCCAAGTCCGATAGCAAGAGAATCCCAGCAACAAAGGAAAAGCCAGCCATTTTACTTATCTGGGCAAATGGAAAATTGCAGAGCAGTCCAACGTGCTGCTCTATCTAACCCTGTAGGCCTTGGAGCAAATTGATTGCTCGAGTAATGTGGCAGAAATCCTAGGATTTATTCAAGGGCCCTCTATCTCACAGCATAAAGTTGTGTCACTCAGAAAATCTTATTTTACATGAATATGTAGGAGCAAAACATGCAGGAACAAAGCTGAGATCTCTGTATAAGAACCATAAGTTCTCCCAACTTTGGTAAGTAGAGTCCAGTGTTTAGACAGAAGTTCAACAGCTCAGGACAATTTGAACAACATGGATGATGCATTTACATATGCCTAAGGCTGAATCTTCATTAGAAATGCTGCAGCACTTGAGAGCTACGCCGCTGTTACACTTCAGCATGGAAACACAACAGCAATGAGAGGGATTCTGGAGCCTATTCCTACGACCAGGGTCTTCTGTTGCTGTAGTTAATCCACATCCCCAAGAGTTGGTAGCCACGTCAATGGAAGAATTCTTCCATCAACCTAATGTTGTCTACACCTGGGATTAGGTTGGCTTAACTATGTCACTTGAGGTATGGACTTTTCATAAGGTAGCTGGATTGACCTGACATTTTTAGTATTGAACTGTCTTCAGGGTACTCATTTGAGAAGTCCCATTGAGTTCAATTGGCCAGCTCAGATGTGTAAGGTTACTCAATGCAGACATGTTTGCAGAATGGGAGCCCTGAATAACCGTCATCTGAGAGAACAAAGTAAAAGTATAAAATTTCACACAATCTCCCCAAAATGCAAAGCTTTTGAGCCTGAAAAAGCTTCCTCAAAATTTATACTGTATCCAGCATTTATGTTAAAAAATCCTAAACCACAATACACACACAGAAATAAAACTCTGCATTTAGCTAGCTCTAATTATGGGCCTGGTTCTATAGCTTTACTCTCACTGCTTGTCCTTACCTATGAAAATCATCTCACTGAAATTAGTGGGACCACTCCTATAGGGTAAGGACTACTCACAGGAGCAGAAGTTGGGAGATCAGGCTTTATTTATTTTCCCTTTCCTGAAAAGCCAGCCTCAAACAGCAGGACAGAAAAATATGGCCAACACTTCAGTTGTGTCTCCAATCACTGCATATTTTATCACATACCAGGTAAAGCAGCAGCACAGTCAAGTGTCACATTTCCAGCGTTTTGTTAGCTGAGGTCACAACACTCACATTATTTAAATATAGGTCTCACTCGGTGAAAAGCAAAAAATCAGTTCAAACCCATAATTGCAAAGATCGTTTTCTCCCATTTTTTTTTCCTTTTTCATTTTTTTCCCCAGTGGAAATAATTACAGTTTATTACATAATCTCCCAGTTTTCTGGTGGCCCAAGTAGGAGAGACAAGCTCATGATTGCAAGTTCAATCAGCTTCCCCATTCCACCAACCTTCATCAGGCAAACTTTGCACAGCTCGTCAGCTGTTTTACACTAGGTCTGCTATTTTGTTAAACTCTAATGCACTCCAGTGAGACAAAAATGTTCTAGTAAACACTTCTTTTAAAACTGAACGTTGCAGGTCTGATCCTGAAATCCTTGCCTAGCCAAATCCCCCATCGCTGTACGCACACCTCTGAGTAGGAACCATTGAGGTCCAGAATATTGCAGCAAGGAGACAATTGTCAGAATTACAATTAATCAGGGAAATCTACATAATACCTGCAGGCAGTGGGCCAATTTCATCCTTGGTGTAACTCTACTGACTTCACTGGGATTACATCAAGATTGACTCTCACCCATTCTGACTTCAACGGCGCTTGAGCATGTATTTCAAGAGATTTCAGGTTAAGCACATGCTTATGTACTTTGCTGAATCAAGGCCCCTATCTCATTCTAATCCCTTTGGACCATTGGGTATGATTTTTTTAAGCAGAAGTCCCCATTAAAGGAAAGGTGAACAAGAACAGTAGAATCTGACCCTGTAAATATCTTTGCTATTAATAAATATACTCTCACCACTGAATAAGAAGAATTCCCTCCAGACCCACTGGATTATCGTTACAATTTTCCAACAGATGGCAAAGTAATATCCTAGGAGGCTTTTTAAGGTCATCCAAGTATTTGTTTAATAAAAAAGTGTTTATTCCTTTATAATCTCAAACATGATATATAATTCGCTGTAAGTCTTATTCATGTAGCTATAAACAAGTCAAGGAAAATAAGTTTATGGGCTTTGTTTGCTTTTGCTCACCCTAACACTTGTGACTGGTGGCTATGCCCAGTTCGCTTGGAATTTAAATTACCGATTAGTTAGATGAAGCTCATGGGAACCCTTGCTCACATTCAGCCACCATAGTGAAAGGAGTGGGATGGTTTCCCTGCCTCTGGTGGAGCTGCTCTATTCTTGTTTATTTGTAAATTCTCCTAGCCAGAAAAAAAAACATTTTCCTGGCACTCATGAAAATCTGAACAATTCTGTTTTGGATTCAACTGGACTGGATGATATCATGGACCAGGCATTTCCCAGCATAAGGGAAGGAGGTTGGGGGAAAAGAGGAGGATAACACAGAAAATTATAACTTACTTCACCCAGTTTCAAGAGGACACATGCTGAACTTTCAGTGCTCTCTGGATATTTTGAAGTTCAAAGAGCAAATACATCCAGCAAGTGCCCTTAATTTACCTCTACCAAATGGTCTCTCCTCCCTCCCGTGTTATGGGGACAAGACAGCAGCTTTGTTAAAATATGACAGCACTAGGAACGAGATTCCCCATTCCTTCCCTTCTCTTGTGAACCCTGTCAAATGAGATTTACTGCAAGGAAAGGGTGAATGGCGGGTCTGAAAGAAAAAATATTGGCAGCAGGTTGCTGATTGAAACAGTGTGCAGTGCGGATTAAAGGCTACATAAAGATATTTATCAGAGGGGTAGTAGCCATGTTAGTCTGGATCTGCAAAAGCGACAAGGAGTCCTGTAGCACCTTATAGACCAACAGATGTATTGGAGCATAAGCTTTCGTGGGCAAAGACCCACTTTGTTAGATGCTCCAATACATCTGTTAGTCTAGAAGGTGCTACAGGACTCCTTGTCACTTATGAAAGTATTTGAAAACTTTGTATATTGTACATAACTAATACTGTTAGATAACAAACACTGAACATTTATAATTGAAATATGGAATATTGTTTGATAAATACTCCCACAAAGCCCCCATTGACTTCAGTGGAGTCAAAATTTTACCCTAAGATTTCTGGGTGTGATTCTGTTTCTAACTGGCAATCCAAACTCTTTTTTTCCCCTTTTTTGAGCCATTTTATAAACAAACAAACAAAAAGACTTCACGTTAAATCATTTTACATGGGTCAAATTCTGCTCTGAGTTAAACCCGTGCACATCCAGAGTAACTACTGTAGATCTCTACTACAGTAACTGAAAACAGAACAGAACAAAATCTTTGACATATCCAGAATTTTAGAAGAAAGGGTCACAACTCACCAATGTCTTGAGCTTTTAGACTTGGACCTGGAAAGATGAGAGGAAATGTTATATTCAAAGCTTAAAGACTGAGCTTAAGGACAAAATGCAAAATATGGAAATTCTTCATGGCAGAGAATTCTGAAAAATGTTTGTTTCCAGCTAATCAAAACATATATATGAGGACATTAAACATGCCAATATTTAAACAATGAACTTACAGTATAAGAGAATCACCAGCACAGCGAGATACATCTTGTCATTGGAGAGCAGTTACCTAATTACCGAAGAAAATGTCCACCCACTCTGGTAGCTATGCCGCGCAGCCCTAAAACTCCACAGAAATTTTGATTCTTAGAGAGAAACCACTAACGCAGCTTTGCTATGAAAAGCCGTAGGTTTTTCCAAAACTTCAGCAGAAAATGGCTTGTGTTGGTCAAGTAATCATTCCCATTACTGGAAAGTGGAAATGGCAAACAATGAGAATCTATCTGCTGCTAACAGGCAGATTATTGCACAGGAAGTGACTGGTCTTTTCCTGAGGAACCCACTGAACACATTTGCTTTGTTTAGTTTCTTAAGGTGTATGAAAAAAACAAGTAGTCCCAGTGACATTTATCCTGAGACGCCTGCTCATGCCTATGTTTTTAAATCATGCTTACCAGTTTAAAATCAGAATTTCATTTCCTATTTGATCTCACTGGATTCTCAATAAATTCTGCTTAGTACTGAAAATCCTTCTGTCAACACACAGGGCCAGAGCCCAACAGGTTTGTAGATTCACTTCATGACAGAGTCGATGAGGGATAGTTGCATTTATTAATCTCACTACGTCACTACTATGGCAGGCTTAATACTGCCAGATGGTTACACAGCTACTGCAAAGTAATATGCCAATAAGCGTAGGCAGAGCAATGCATAAAAGTGAGCAACAGGCATTTGGAAATGCTTATGCCCCTTCAGTCTACGGGGAGTCCCATTCCAATCACCTCGCATCAGGTGAAGGTGGCTCTAGCTGGTGGGCTCCAGGACTCCCATCAAAGTCTAGGTCCCTGGTGAGACTCAGCGGACACGGGACTCCCTACACTAGTTATACTACAGGGCTATGTCTACACTGGCAGCTTCTTGCGCAAAAACTTGCCTGCTGTCTACACTGCCCAAGCGTTCTTGCGCAAGTAAATTTACAGTATAGCGCTGTAAAACAGGGCTTCTTCCAGAAGAGTTATTCCTCTCCCCACAAGAAATAAGCCTTCTTGCGCAAGAGCTCTTCCACAAGAGGGCAGTGTAGACAGGCAACATGACTTTCTTGTGCAAGAAACCCCTATGGCTAAAATCACAGGTTCCTTGCGCAAGAGAGCGTCCACACTGTCATAGATGCTCTTGCGCAAAAGCACGTCTCTTGCACAAAAACCCATGCCAGTGTAGATGTGCTCTTGTGGAAGACTTTTTGCACAAGAACTCTTCCGCAAAACAGTTCTTGTGCAAGAAGCTGCCAGTGTAGACATAGCCCTGCAGTTGTTTACTTTCAACGCCATTCTTATCACTCTTATGAGCTGAGACTGAGGTCAAATTTGTTTACCGCTTAGTAGTTTCCCAGCTCAAGTCATGGGTTAGAGCTGATAAAGCCCAGCTGCTGTTTGTACTTGCAGAGTCCCAGGCTATGCTGAGTTGGGTAAAGCAGGGATGGAAACTTTCATCCCAAGCCTGCTGAGCTGCAGGACCCACATATGCAGGGGTGGATATAGGGCAGGGCGAGTAGGGCAGCAGCACTTCAAGAAGCCCCACGTATGCGCCGTGGCGCCACCGCGCATGTGCCGTGTCAAAGGGGGGGCCCCGCGAAATTGTGCTGCCCTCGGCCCTGCAAAATCATCATCTGCCCCTGCACATATGACTTTTTATGTGACACCTTCAGGGTATACGTCTAACTCAGCAGAGCTAAAGTTGAATTAAGCTGCACAACTTCAGCTACGTCAACTGTGTAGCTTAAGTTGAAATAGCTCAATTCGGCTACACAGCAGAAAGTCGAAGGAAGAACACTCTTCCTTTGACTTCCCTTACTCCCCATGAAATGAGGCTTACCATGAGTCGGAGTAAGAAATCCCCCAGTTCGATATTATTTCGAAATAACAGCTTGTAGTGTAGGCGTGCTCTGTTCTTTTGGAATCATGTCAGTGATTCCAAAATGATGCGGCTGTGTAGAAATACCCTCAGAATGGATTTAGATCTGAGCATTTGCCCCACAAAAGTTGTTTTGCTGCATTCTCTATGGGACTGGAATTTCTATTGTGATTCATTGGCTGCACTGTAGATACCATGGCAAGTTAAATTAATTTAAGCAGATACAATTGTATAGTCCCTAGATCAATGTGATCCCAATGCAGGGGTTTCAATATGCTGCCATCAAGCATTTAAAATAAATGTATACTGCTGGTTTTTATCTTGTTTGTTTAAAGCTGACTAAAATATACACACTCAAAACCCAAATCCACCCAGAAGTTGTCAGATTTGGGGATTTGTCTCCCAATTAAAAATCTGAGCCAACGATGCTCATAGGTCAAATTTCAGAAGCATAGCTAAATTTTCCAAAAGTTTGAGGCTGTTTGAATCTGGGGATTTGAACAAGGGTGAAGTTAGAGTGAACAAAAATTGATTTCAAGTAATAGAGGGGTAGCCGTGTTAGTCTGGATCTGCAAAAGCGACAAGGAGTCCTATGGCACCTTATAGACTAACAGATGTATTGGAGCATAAGCTTTCATGGGCAAAGATGAAGTGGATCTTTGCCCACGAAAGCTTATGCTCCAATACATCTGTTAGTCTAAGGTGCCATAGGACTCCTTGTTGCTTTTGAAGAATTGATTTGTGATTTTTTTTTAATTGAAATCTGCAGTTTGTAGACATGGAAATGAAAGTTGAAGTTTATAATTTTTGTCAAGTTTCATTTTGAGCCTAAAGTACAGAAATAAAATTAGGGGAAGTGTGAACTTCAGAGGAACTGAGTGTAAAGTGAAGGCAAAATGGGTGGAAAATGCTACCATGTAGATTATAGCATTTTGCCCCAGAGTGCACTGGTGTAATCATTTGCACAATGTACAGGGCAATAGTGAATTAAGCCCACGAGTTGAACTTAGTGTCAAGCTTGTTGGAGAGGATAAAAATTCAGTTTGGGGAAGCTTTTTGAGATTGACATTTGATTTTGTTACAAACTGGAATGCAAACCAAAAATTTTGAAATTCTTCATTTCAAGAGAATTCCAAAAAAAATTTTGTTTTGGATTGTTCAGAACATTTTGTTTCCATTTAAATGTTGCATTATATTAAAATATGATACAACATTAAAAAGTGCTGAATCAGGCCAATAATATTTACCGATAGCTGATTCCAAATAAAACAAGGCTAAACAAAAAAAAAAAGCTGGCAGCCACAATGAAAAATAGGTGTCTTGATATTTCATCACACTCCGGCTACATAATCAGAGCAATCAAGCATATTGCACCACTCTGAGGACACGGACAGGATTTCTTATTACAGTTATCGCTGCTCCGTGCGAGATCTATCAGAAAGTGAATGGAAATATGATAAATTGCTCATGGTAGTAAATTGCCCCAACTAGTTTACAATTTAATGCTCTACTTGCGTAATGAGCTCTGCCCAGGCAGATCCCAGGGGCCCAACACACACTTACCGACTTCAGTACAGCTTTGCACAGACACAGAGGTTTGCCCAAGGACAACTCATCACAGGATCCGGCCTGAACAAATAAACCAGAGACTAGGTTCTTTGCAACAGGTTTTTAGGATTTTTTTCCCTTTATAAAATAGATGCAAAGCCATTTTTTTACAACCCTGTTTTGAAGAGACATATGAGTGCACTAGGGGCAACATCTTGACTCTATTAACGTCAGTGGAAGTTTTGCCATTGATTTCAGTAGAATCCAGATTTCATACCAAAAGTACAGAAGACAATAACTGTGCAACAAGTCCAGGTAGAAATGGCAGTGCTGAGAAGTCCTGGGATTTTACCATGAGTTATTCTTAAAGCGCTAGATACTGTAGTCAAGCACTCCACTTTCCTTTTATATACAAATGGACAAATCTTCATGTTTCTGGAGAAAAAGTGAATCCTTAAGCCTCCAAAATCAGAATGTGTAGCCTATCAAGTTACTTTCCTATCATGCTAATATAATGTGTGTGTGTTAATTTAGATTAATTTGGTAATAGTTAAAAATTCTAAGAAATCTTCAAGAAGCTGCTCTCAGCATTCCTGTAGGCCCTTTGTGTTAGCTTGACTCATGTCTGGGTTCAGTGCAATACACTAAGCCTTATGTCTGCCCAAGTTTGTGAAGGCCGCTAATACTAACACAGCAGTACTCACCTCTTTGGGGGAGGGCTTTGCCATTAACTCATCTGGGTACAGTACAGTTCAGTCCTAGGCTGCGTGGTGAGTCGGGTTCCCCTGCAGTGCAGTGGCGCCTGCTCTAGAGTATAACAAGATGGTACAGCCTCTGAATGCACTTTCCAATACGTGCCATGTCTGCATAACAATCAAAGGACAGGCTTATACTTGAATGAGAGAACATACATAAGCTCACAGTCCAGGTCAAGTAATATGGGGTTATTATATTTTATCTTTTGTCCATGCTGCAACAGGCCGTTTGCAAGATCAACAGGAGCTAAGGTTTGCAGACTTCCATGGTTGGGACACTGTCTCACCCAAATACTGGTCATAACTTATGTATGGTTTCCCGGGCCTGAAAAAGGGAAACTTAGATCTGGACTGTTCAGGATGACAGGAACAAGACCCTCAGACTCAGCAGATTATTATTAAATATAAGTCTCAAATAATTGGTTCAGGCTGAGTTAAGCAATTAGGATACAGGTTCAGGCTGAGTTAAGCAATTAGGATACAGATAAACACAAAGGCCCATGGCAACGAATTGACATATGTGATAATAAGTTAAGAGCAATGATATATAGTCCAATTGGAAAAGAACACTTCAGCATTAGAAACACCCCCTATTGAATATGCATTAAACATGGTATCATTAGTGTCACTTGGTATAAAAGTAGGACCCCGGCCCAGGAGGATAGGGAGGAGATGTAGTCCTTGGAAGGGCCAGAAGGATGGCCCCAGTGATGATGGGAAAGGTGAAGGCTATGAGAAAGATGATGGGCTAACACCTAAGATTGTTCTAGAAGGAATGATGTAAGTATATATGAATGTACATTCCCTGTCTTATGAAATTGAGGTGTTTATTAATAAGGTTAGCACAGTCACAAACTGTAAATATTGTAAATATACAAGAGTTTCTATATTGTGAGTGCTGTAACTGTGCACAACAGGGTTCCCAATCATAGTATAATTGAATACTGGGCCTAATCCTGGGACAGAGAACCTGTTAACCCTAAAGGTGGGTGTGGCGGGGTGAAGCAACCCTGCTCTTACCCAGGGCCAGGGGGAGACCCAGGAGCCGAGGCTGGCCAGCACCTGCCATGACCAGGAAGCGGTGGGGCCAGATCTGGAGG